TAAGACGGCTAAAGTCATACCAATCTATAAAAAAAATGACCCCTCTTCTATGTCGAACTATCGACCAATATCCATATTACCAAGTTTCTCTAAAATCCTCGAAAGAATTGTTTACAACAGATTATATAATTTTTTAACTCAAAACGACTCGCTGAACCCAGATCAGTTTGGTTTCAGGAAGTTCCATTCAACTGATTTAGCACTACTCCAACTATTCGATAGAGTATCAAATGCCTTGGCTGATCATAAACATGTCATAGGCATATTCATGGATCTCAGCAAGGCATTTGATACTCTTGATCACACTATATTATTGTATAAATTAAAGCATTACGGTGTACGAGGTAAAGCACTTGATTGGTTCGAAAATTACTTGTCATCAAGAAAACAATATACTTTATTCAATTCAGTTTCTTCTAACGTATCATCTATTAAATGTGGAGTTCCGCAAGGCTCCATACTTGGGCCACTATTATTTTTGATATATGTCAACGATATTTCTAATGTTTCACCAATTCTACAGTATATATTATTTGCCGATGATACAAATGTATTTTATTCACATTCCGATTTAAATTCGATGATCGCAACCATGAACACTGAATTACCTAAGTTATCGAAATGGTTCAAAAGCAACATATTATCATTGAACCTAAAGAAGACCAATTTTATTCACTTTAGAAACTCCAGAAATCACAATATTTATAACTTTGAGCTGCTTGTCGATAATGTTCCAATAGAAAAAAAGTCATCAACGAAATTCTTAGGTGTATATATAAATGAAAAATGTAACTGGAATGATCATGTGAATTATATCTCTACCCCTATTTCTCGCAATATTGGTATACTATTTAAGCTAAAATACTTTTTGCCAACACATGTGCTTAGTATGCTATATAATACACTGGTTTTACCATATATTTCTTACTGCAATATCATATGGGCTACTCATAAGTGCAATACTAATCGTATATTACTGTTACAGAAAAAAGCAATTCGAGTTTGTACCGATGCAGGTTATCGCGACCACACTGACCCTTTATTTGCCACATTAAAAACTCTAAAAATAAGTGATATACACTACATGCAAAAATCTGTGTTCATGTTTCGACTTAAAACCGGCAATCTTCCCCCATCACTAGTCATTTTATTCCAACATAATTTTAATCTTCATTCTTACCCAACCAGGCATTCCAATGACTATCACCTATTTAACGCCAAAACAGCCTTAGCTCAAAACTCAATTAGACATTCTGGCCCTGATACCTGGAATGCACTACCCCCTGAAATAAAAACGATGAATACAATGCTATCCTTTAACAGAGCGGTGAAAAAGTTTCTTATTGCTCATTATCTTTAAATCCATCAACAAAATAAATTCTCCTCGTTTACCCATCGTTACAAAACTCGATAATTTTCTGTACTGTTTACTTTTTTTTGCTTCCATTTAATGAAACGTTGATTATAACCTTCCATGACCTGGTATGAATACACGTATGAATAAAGAGTGGCCTACTTGGGATACTGAATAAACACTGTCTTCTATACAAACATTTCAAGGCTCTGACTCGCAGGCCCAGGTTTAAAACCAGCTGGCTGATCTTACTTTCACATTCTTACTGTCCGAACCTTGAGAGTCTTCTCATTCTATTGTATCCCAAGTTGGCCACTCAGTATTCAAATTTGCATTTCTTTTCTTATTTAAAATCTTTATATATCAATTTGAAATCCAACTACCACATAAGTCTGTGAATATTGATGTGCATCCCCTCTTTCTTTTCTCTTCTTTTTTCTGTCTTTTCCCCCTTTTTACCAATATTTTGTTCCTCCATATTTGTATTATTATGTATCCTTTGAGGGTAGTCATACTATCAAGCTTTGCTTATTTTGTCAACCCTCCTGTTTGATGTTCTCGATTAGTTACACCCAGCCTTACCTTATTCCACATATATTCTTTTGTCATGTGTAAATTTGCAATATTTGTTTGTTATATATTTGTAAAAATGCAAAAGAAAAAGAAAATCAAACAGAAATAAATAAATCAAAATCAAATAAATCAAAATAGATTGTCAATATTATTTGAGGAATTTTACACTAACAGATTGTCAATAATATTTGAGGAACTTTACACTATAACAGATTGTCAATAATATTTGAGGAACAAAATTACATTTTTTTTTCAATACAAACAATGCAATGCAATACACAATACACAATTATCAACACAAAAGATTTGATATGAATTACCGTTTGTCATTTTCTAATCCTTTAATCTAATTTGAAGTATAATGTATAAATATACTTGTACAATTATTCATATCGTTTCCGTGTATCTGTCAAAATACTCTTTTTTCACATTTGTAGTAATTATTATGCCTATGTATTGTAAAACAAATTATTAAAGGTAATACAAAGTTTTGGGAAATTGTGAAAGTTGGGTGAATAGTGATTCTTTATACAATTTTGATATATTTGGATACCCCTATATGGATGTATTATAAGCACGAGAAAATTTAGCCCCTAAAGCACTTCTGCTTTCGAGAAAAATTGAATATAAAAATTCAAATAGCGCCTACGGCCATACAATGGTAGCTGCGACCCTGAAAAATCTCAGAATATGTAGTTGTGATATATAATTACCAAACGGGAATAGCTAATATGTCGATTTTAGACAAGAAACATTGTTTTATAGCTTAATTAATATCTTGACCTTGAGAGGAAGCTATACAACATAAAGAGTTTATTATTTACAATTTCATAACTTAAGACTCGATTTCAACCGCGACAACGATCACTGAATATTGTAGGATCGCATATGCTTCCAATATGTTCATTTGAACCAAATTCATGACCCCATACCAAAACTTTGTATTACCTTTAATGTACCATGTGAATGAAGTTTTCTAATAAATACAAATACAAACATTCTTAGGGTAGATGTGTAAACGAAGATAGAGAGAGAGAGAGAGAGAGAGAGAGAGAGAGAGAGTGTGTGTGTGTGTGTGTGTGTGTGTGTGTGTGTGTGAGAGAGAGAGAGAGAGAGAGAGAGAGAGAGAGAGGGGGGGGCAGAGAGGAAGTAAAGAAAATTAATTAAATTCGAGGGACGAGAGAGAAAGAGCATCATTATCGTCGTCAACATAGCAGCTTTAAATTAAATGAGAAGTGTCTTTTCTCATTATACATGATCTGATAAGTGCCCCCCTTTTTTAAAAATTTATTTCACATTGTCGCTTACAAAACGTGCCCTAAAATCCTGCAAAGAGTCATATCTTCAGAAAACGAGAGGCTTCATAATTACAAAAAATAGGTTCCCCTTCTGATTCCCATATAATTTTTGGCAGTGGAGCAGGGGGAGCGAGGCACAACGCCCCAAATTTATAAGAACAAGCAGCAACTGTGGACATTGTTTGTTGTTAAATTAAAACCATGATTTTCAAAGCTCGCATGGTAATCTCGCTCGAAATTGCAGCATATTTTCTTATCATATTTAGAAGCTCACATCCTAGGAATGTTGACATTAATGCTGCCTTGTTTATTATTCTAAAAAGAGATTGTGGTTTATGCTAAAATTCCTTCCATTTTGATTATTTTCTTGAATAAGAGCTGATTGGTCACAATGCTACCTCAACAACTAATTGAAAATTATTGTTCATAAAATGATAAGACAACTACCGTATAATGGTTATTTGAAAATACACACTGTCTTGATAAATGGTATGGTCCTAAAATTAAAATATATCATATCTCAGTAAATAATATATATTACTGTAAACACACACGATTATTCATACGTGACATTCCTTTCTCCTATCTACTCATATATTTAACAGCATCATGTAGCCCTCCCTCCCCACTTCCGCTGCTATCGACTCAAGCATTCATGCTTATGGTAGTTGGCCTCTGAATTAATCTTGATTCTTCAATTTACCTCCGTACTTTCAAGTTTTCAATAAAACTTATGTATTTGTTTCGGTATTTGAATAGCTTATATTATATATTATTATTGTTGTTTTTATATATATATATTTTTTCTTCATCAAATGCAGAAACATCTAGTCTACTAACAAATTTAAAGTTAAACCCGCGATCATCATCAGAAGAAGACAGAAAACTCTTGATATTTTGCCCGACCACTTCGCTAGCTGGCAGAAAATTTAAGGACCATTTAAATACAAAGTAACCAAAGGAAAAAAAAATGAAACTATAGTTTAAAATTGTTTGGTTTGTTCATGTAAGGGCAATTCCAAATTGTTTTCAGTAATTTTTTGATGTGTTAAAACGAAAATCGACTCGGAGCTCGGAGAAGTGAGGAAGTAACAGAAAAGAAGGAGAAGAAAGGAAAAAAAGGGGAAGACGACAAAGCAGAACAAGAAGAAGAAGAAGAAGAACGACAACAACACCAACAAAAACAAGAACAAGGAAGAGGAAGGGAAGAAGGTAGACGGGGAGGAGGAGAAGGAGGGGTATGGGACGAGAATGAGGAGGGGGAAGGAGGGGAGAGAGAGGGAAAGAGAGAGAGAGAGAGAGAGAGAGAGAGAGAGAGAAAAAAGAGAAAGAGCGGGAGAAAGAGAGAAGAAGGCCGAAAGAAAAAGAGGCAATCAGACAAGTCATAATATTTTTTTCATCCACTGCACTGTGGTTGAAATGTGAGGGCAGCAGACAGATCACAAATTGCGAATATTAATTAATTGCAGCCAACGAGCTAGCTGAGAAGCCAGCGACGTACTGCTTGAGAGACAAAATCACTGTTTATTTCTACTTAGCAAGCGGTCATTTATTCTGTAGTTTGACACGAACTACCTATTAAGTCATAGATTGTTTTCACCTAGTTTGAAAGGCATATCGAAGACGTTTGATCTGTTGTAGAAGAGGATTTTGGGAACCTAGGTGTTGATTGAATTGACACGTTTGTCGAAGCGACACGTCGCCGAAGTTTCGGGCGATCAGCTAGCCTCATCAGCGGTTTCCTGCAGGAGAATCAGAGGCGACTAGTTACTAGCGTTCCAGATCAGACAGTGCACTACGACTTCCTTCCGCATTTCCATTCGTGAATGTGAGTAAAGCAGAATTTGATCTTTTACTAAAACTGTAAGAGTTCCACTGTAGATCTAGGCCATTTCAGCCGGGGGGGGGGGGGGGGGCGATGGTGTTTGTTTTGACAATTGTCCATGAGTTCTAACCAGATTTATGCGTTGTCTTGATGGGGCCACTTAACAGTAAGGGCGCTGGTCCGAGAATAAGGATCATTTGCATAAACGAGGATTATCTTCGTAAACGCGGACCGATGCGTCCTCAAAAATAAGGATCGTCCGCATTTTCGCAGACGTTTCATATTTTAGATTGGCGCATTGGTGATGCGAAAAACGGATTTAGCGATGAGTTTCTTGATGCATTTTACATTGACTTTGTATAGACACTTTCACATTATGAAGGATAAATCCTTGGGAAGACGGACAACCCAATAAAGTAGACGGTGAACTAGGGTTATTTCCTTAGGCGGAATACATTTATCGCATCACCAGCAGGCCGTTCGGTGACCCGAAACCCGCACAGCGCCGATGAAAAAACGTCCACGAAAATGAGGACGCATTTTGCCGCGTTCATGAGGATATCCTCGTTTATGAAGACGATCCTCGTTCTTGGACCAGCGCCCGTACTGCTCAAGGGTCGGAGGGACCGTATTCGTGTTACCAAAATCTCTGGTAAAGGGGTACTTTTCAAGCAACAAAATCTGGCCCGTATTGACTTTACACACCGGAGATAGGGAGTGCTTTTAAAGGGAACATTTGACTTCAAATTACACAAGTTCTCGGGCTTTAACATAAATCGAGTAATGTAGTCAACTATTCCTTAAAATTTAAATGTAAAAAAGTAAGTGTAGAAAGAGTCTCATAAAAATTATAGCAACCCCCTAGTCTAGACCTGAACTTGAAGCTTCAGTCTCTGATTTCAATGTTTGATCGATGGGTGGCTCCACTAAACACCTCTATACAGAGAATGAAAAGCATTGTAGCTTCAAGAAAATGGATAGATAAGCTAAAAGTGAGTCCTTATATTTTGATGTTTTAAAAATTAGATCTACAGTGTATTTGCTTACTCATCATCATTTCTTCTAAATCAAACTGTTAGGTCTAGATTAAGATAAACTGAGTATGAACTTTTTGCCGGATTCAGATGAAAGTTAATTCCCTCAATGTGTGTGTGGGGCAAGGGCTACCCTCTCAGGCTCTGTGCATTGAGAAGTTTGACAAATGACACTTTTATTAATATTAATGAATTCCTCATACATGTATCAGACGTTTACTTCTGTCTAGTGTCTACTAATAACTTTGCTTCAATGTATGCAATGTTTGTTGGGTGTTTGTTTTATCAGTTATGCATGAATCAGAAGTGGATCCAGGGGGCTGGAGCACGGTGGGACAGGGGATCTGGGCCCTCCCCCCATGTCTACTAATAACTTTGCTTCAATGTATGCAATTTTTGTTGGGTGTTTGTTTTATCAGTTATGCATGAATCAGAAGTGGATCCAGGGGGCTGGAGCACGGTGGGACAGGGGATCTGGGCCCTCCCCCCATCAAAAAGAAAAATGAGGTGAAAAAATTATGAAGAAACTAAGAAAGAAATAAAATTATTTTAGGTTAACAGAAAGTGAGTTTATTAACATACATGTAATGAACAGTACTACACTGAGCACTACACAATAATAATCATAATCTCACCTACCAGCAAAAAAAAAACCTTGGGGAAATACCCTCTCTTCTGTAATGATCTGCTAATCAAGAAATTCAGGAAAATGTGGCATTTCAAGAATGAAATTGTGCTTCCAGCAATTTTGTTATTCTGCTAAGATATAAGAAAGCTGACATAGACAGAAGTAACCATCTGGTATGGGGAATTCTTAAAAACTGCTTAAAATTGACATTTGTCAACCTTCCCCAGACACTGTATGCTGAAATTGTATGTATTACCGGTACTTTATTTACTATGTTCACAAATTGTGTGTATCAATTATTTATGTAATGTGTTCCAAATATATTTAAGAAGGAGGAAAACTAAAAAGTTTGTTAAAAAATGTTTCGTTAAGACCTTCCCCAATCCCCATACACAAAGCAAATGTTAGATCACCCTTCTGAGGACTAAGAACCATGGCAAGTATTTCAAAGCAGAAAGAGTTAGATATTGCCCTACATTGCCCTACTAAGGCTATCTACAAACATGTGTTCTATCTTGGTTAAAATTTAGGGCCTTGAAATAAATGTGAGGCCTGTCAACTACCGCAAAGGTCAGTGTCTTTCAACCAATGATGGCTTTATAATGATTTGGTTTGGGAAGATTATAGATCTGTTCATATGTCAACAATGTTTGTAGAGAAGGAAATACTGCAATTGAAAGTGTGGTAAAGGCATCATTATTTATTTTTGGTGATGGGGGGGGGGGGGGGGGGGAAGAGGTCATTGAATTAAGTTGATGTCAGTCTGCAGTGAACACTGTGTTGTTAGATTAAATGCTGCATAATTTGCACATTTATGGATAATGTTTTCAAGAGAAGGATCAAAGTGTTAGGTAAAAGAACGGATCCAAGTGGAACAGCTAGGACCAAAATATATCCGACCATTTTTTTTCCTTTTTCAAACCAGTGCCCCCCCCCCCCGGTAAATAACGGCAAACAAACCTAGAATTAACTTCCAGGGTATATTTTTTAGTTATTGTACAAAACATAAATGAAAGTGGACTTCCTGGTTCAGGAGTAAATGCTCAGGAGTTAGGAATAAGTTTCTCTGTTACAATATTGTGATAATTGTTATGTATGGTAATAGAAATTCTGAGCCATTTGGATTGACCTGCCCTTCTGAACTTGTAGGATTGTCTTAAAATTGGAAAGACTTCAAAAGTGGCTGACATTTTCACTTGTAAGTTGTAAAATCGCAATAAGCTGTTCCACTCAGCAAATTTAACAGCTACATGTTGTTGACCATCTGTGCCTCAAAGTTGTTTCTTTGATTCTGAAGAAGCAGGGGAGAAATTTGTACATTCCTGCCCAATTTGTAGTGAAATCTTTGCCAAAATCGACATTTGTAACTCCCAGGGTGTCCTAGATTCTCCCTTTGATACTCTCCCTGACCCCTTTCTCATTGCAAGGGTGGACTGCGGGTCGGGTCGGGTCACACAATCATGGTTCGAACCACGTGTCTTGCACAAGGGAGATCCACTTGCACTTGTTGCATCCGCACCTGCAGTCAGTTGGGGGCAATCTACAGGTATTGGAGGACTCCTCTTTTGGGAGGTGGTGTTGCTACATGTATTTTGTTGACCCCCCTCCCCCTCCCCACAAACCATAGGATGTACATTTCCTACATTATTATAAAGCTCCTATACATACATGGAAGATGATCAAGGTTAAATCACTTCCACGGTGTTAGCCAGATCTGCTTGGCTCTGATTGACCGTTCTCATCATGATTTTTTGATGTAGGGCTCACTAGATCACGTCATATCTCGTGGAGCACATGCACCCAGGAGGTACCCTAGTATCGGATCGCCGTTTTGGATTGATGTGATCCTTCATTGAGAGGACCAAACTGACGTTGCAACTGTCTCACCTCATAGATGGCACGATCTAGTGCGAGCTGGATCAAGCTAACCCTTGTAATGAGAACGGGGCTTCTGTCACCTCATGGGGCCAATGAAGAGGGTACTGTAGAAGTACATTAACCCCTAGGGTCAGATCAAAATATATGCTGGTGTCTTCTCTTCCCTCTCTTTCTCAAGGTCAAGCTTTTGAAACCTCTTCAATTTGTACAATATTTTCTCAGTAGTGTTACTCAGCATAGTATAGGCCTACATGCACTTGTAAGTCTTCAAGTAATAGGGAAGGTCTAGTTTTGGCAAAGTAAAAGTGATTTTCCTACTTTATTGTTCCTTTTCCCCCTCTTCTTGGTTTTTCATTTTTTTCAGCTTGCCTCACTTCTATTGTTTTTATTTTATACAATTACAAGTGATTTTTAACGAAATAAGAATTATTTGTATGTACAATTTAAAATGTACCTCTGGAACAGTTGCTTGTAGAGAATCATGTTTCATATATTTCGGGGTGTACTGTTCCCCTCTCAGATACTGATTATCATGTAATAGCTACATATAATAATAATAATAATAATAATAAAAACGTTACTTATAAAGCGCTTACCACTGAAGTCTCTAAGCGCTATACACACAAAATAGACTGATATACAATTACATCTTATACAAAAACTAAAAATGCAAATAAACATACAAATTACAATACATATGGAAAACACGTCAAAGTGAACAGAGTTAATTTATCATCGAACGCAATTTTGAATAAATGTGTCTTGAGACTAGTTTTGAATAGGTTAACAGTTTGACTGTTTTTTTACATTTAAAGGCAATCTATTCCAAAGTTCAGCAGAAGCTTTGCGAAAGGAGGCAAGGAGTGATTACCATAAGAAAGAGTTGACACCGAAGTAGATATGAGGTTTAATTGTGAAGATGACCGTATGCACAGCAAATGTTGATAAATCTTTAATTTATTATCTTACTTGTCTATTAAAAGTGGTGCAATAAAAAAAATAAATCTATGGGTAACATGCCTATATACAGTAACACATCTAGCAATATAACTAGAAAAATTTCCCCCTCACTATGAAAGTTTGAATAATTCAAAGCTTTCCGAGCAAAAATCATAATGGATCACCATTGAAAGCACCGTGTACTAGTACAAGTATTAATAAATAATGCAAGAAATGCAAATTACCGCCATATTAAACCTTAATCCATCTGAGTTGTAGTGTACCTATTATAAGCACTGCACATGTAGGCGTCTTTGTACATGTACATGTATCTCTGTGTGGGTACAGGAAAATGATTTGTCACCCCAGTTGTGTCTGGACGTGTGCCAATAGATTTGTAGATTCAGAATATATATGTATAATTTTTGTTCCTAAAGTAGATCATAACGTTCTTTGCCAAGACTGTGTGGATTAATCCATTGACTCACTTCAGAGTAAATGTATTTCTGTTCTTCAAGTAGGTT